CAGACCATCGCTGGCCAGAGTACAGTGAAGGTTTCAATTTTTGTGTGGAAGCGAAATCCAGTCTCTCAGTTTAGATCCTTTTCCGTTATAGTGGTTATTGTTTTGTTAAACAGCACCCAACGTCTGCTCATGTTGGAAGAACTATTTCAATCTAGTGAGGCTCTTTCGAAATTTCTAATCTACGACGATGGCTTGTAAGGATCTTCTTTCCACGATTCTTATTTTATGCGCAGTTCAGCGACGGACGGGGGGAGGGGGGGCATTTTACTAGTTCCGGTTTACAAGTCTCACTCTGGTGAAACCTGTGAACTCTTGTGAAGCTGGAGCAAGCTCGCTCACCCGTCATGCTAAAACCTGTTGAAGCTGGTAAGCCAATGAAAAAGCTCTCTAGATGACCCCACACGTCGATGGGAGTAGCAAAAGTGCAAAAACTGCACCCATTCTAATATGCCGCGCTGGTGGGCGTGGTGAGCGTAGCCGCTCCCTCGGACGAGTTGTACTACCCTACCACATGAGTTTGGGTGTTGAAAAGACGGGAAATTTGATATAACCCGTCATAGAGCCAAATCTCCGCTTGAATTCATATAATTGCGCTGATTTCGGGTTTCGCTGCTCCAGTGGGCAAACTAGTACATACGCACCGAGAATTCAACGCGCATCGACGCGCGATGCGCCGCGCGCGCGAAGCGACTAATTACGATTGCTTTGTCAATCTCTTCGGAAAATGTCATTTTTCATTTCATTGTCATTTTTGTACATTTTTCATACATAGCCTTTTCAGATACCATCGGATATGTCGTTTGAAATCCCGTCGGAAACTATGTGAAGAAGCATTCGTTATGTATCAAATGTCCTTCAGTCGTCATTTCTTTCGTTTGTGATGATAAACGTTGCTGAACGAGTTTTCCCCGTGTAATATGATGATATCATCCCTGTGTCGGTCACCTATCTGTGACCAGAATGCGATCCATATTCCCATTTCTGCTACTCTGTTTCACTGGCATTACTAGTCTTGATTACCGTGAAAAATTATGGGTCAGTAATCTCCAGCACACCGCATATGAGTATTATCTCAAGCACTTTCAACGGCTACAGACATTGTACGCACGGAAATTGGACGATAGAAACAGGCTTTCGGTACGTCTTTCCATTTACCGCAAAGGTGACAATGTCTTATTAGTGTTAACACTTCCCGGCTATTGATAGCAGATAACCGGTTCCCGAATCCAGTTGCCCACTCACAGTCTGCCGTAACTGGGGTTTTTGCCCTGCTTTGAGCGTGTCCCATCTTCCAATAGCTCTTAGGCTACT